CTTCTAAATAAACAAAACGCGCATTATGGATATGATAAAAAATATGGAGCATCTTAAAAAGTAAAATATCTAAAGCAAGCATTGTAACACAATAAAGGAAGTAAAATAGTAAAAAGTCTATTTTAAAAACGTTTTGAACATCTGAAATAAAACGGTATCTGTAAATGATCAACAAATGCAAACTATATCTTATCAAAACATATTATCAAACACATATAAGTTTTAATAATTCTCGTTTCCTTAAATCTTTTTTTCCCCATATAACCAGATGTTCTTTTTTGCTCATTATAATCATATATTTCTTTGTGAATATTTAAATGAGATTGTCATTTTGCGTACACAGTGACTACAGATTTTTTTTTTATTTCTTAAGATTGTGATCAAGCACGCTTTTCGCTACCACGTGAGATTTTTGAGATATTGGCTCCATCACTTTGTTTAAATGTAGAGTGATTCAGAGAAAAATGATTATAATCTTTTTACATTGACATTTATAACTGAACTCGATTGACGCATTTGAATATTTGACAGAGCATAAAGTAAACCGATTTATTTATGCCAATGCTACAGGCCCTAACCTGCTTAAAATTTATCAAAAAACTCAGTGGTCAGACAGATAGCAATAACTTTGTTAATCCATAATCACCATCCTTTATATAGCTTTTTACAGAGCAGTTAAAAATGAGATACAAAATATACACATTTAAGTTGGAAATTAATGTTAAAGATAAAGAATGTTTACAAAATTTTAAGACTTATTAAAGAAGAGCGCGATATTTAAAAACATCAAAACATTTTTGATTAAGGATAGAAATTTAGAGAATGAGAAATTCGAATTTTTAAAATATCTTCAAGTTTCAACCGAAACCTTATTTTTAATGTTTTTATTGCCTCTTTCAGTCAGATTTTGATGCTTAAGCCTTATTTTGCTATTCCCAATGAGCTTACAATTTTACTTCATTTTTGGCAATGATTCTAAGAACATATTTAAGGGCGGTGTATACTGTACACCTTTTTTACAAAATAGGAAAATTACGTTACGAGTTTATTTGAAAAACTATAGTATTGTGTGCAAAATAATCCTGTGCTTACACTTATTTAAATAAAAATGTTTTGATATAATGGGGAATTTTAAATAAATGTTTGGATTAATCAAATATTTTTTATCCCAGGTAATCTAGGCTGTAGAGGGGGTGGCATCGACTCATCTTTTCTCTATATAAGGAGAAATCGTGGTATAGACACTGAAGAATCATATCCTTATAGTGGTAAAGTAAGTGCTATCCAATATTTACAAGATTTTATTTTATTTAAATAAAGCTTTTATTCAGTCGTCCTGAAAGTAAGCACCATTTCGTTCTAACGTCACAGTTGTACTGTAGTCGCTCCGCGCATGCGCACACATATCTCTGGTTGATTGGCTGTCCACTGACATCGTTACAGCTGGATTATATTGCCAAGATATTGCCTTTACATGTGTTAGAGAAAGTTCAAAATGTTTAAGGCAGGCCACACACTGAGTGATTAGAGTTTCTATTTTAAATTCTGAAGATAGCTCTGCCTACAGCCAAGGAACCAAGGTCGGGTTGTCTAGTTCAGTATCATTGCTCTTTTAATGTTATTTAGTAAATTTTTAGGTTTTTGATCCCATACCTATTTTTCGAGATATTCGAGCGTCTCTATACTTTTCACCATGTATTACATACAGCGCACCCTGTATGAATGATACTAAACTAGTACTTTTTCCTATTTTTTCCTTTCGTTTTAATACTTGCTTCAATAAAATAATACCGAATTTCTCTTTTAAAAATCTAAATTCTGCTTTTGATTGATTTAAATGTCCTATTATGTAAGCTACTGATATTTTAAAAACTTTTCATTGGCCTTTGTTCGTTGATAATCAAAGGACGTTGCGAAGAAAACGTGGCTTCAGTGAAAGTTTCGGTTGTTTTAAAATCACGGATTCAATAAAACAAAGAACTTTTACATTTTTGAGAAAAGTAAGCTTAAATTCTTTTTTGTAGTAATGCTGATAGCTATGTTACATTAATTCCTGAATCGTTTCTAACATGAAAATTCATTTGAGAGATATTAATGTATCATTCATAGAAATTCTTCGAGTTTACTTATGTATGCTCTTCGCAAGGTCTATTAAAAACCATCATTGTTCTTTGTAATTGCATTGCTCAGATCAAAGTACCTGAACGTATGAGATCCTACATGAAACTCCAAAATCTCTCTATTGATCAGAATTATGTAATGCAATTGGCAACCGAAAACGAACCATAAACATCTAGCACAGTGATTCTCAACCACTGTGCCGCGGCACTTTTGTGTGCCGCCAAATATTAGAAATGATACAATAAAAATTATAATGTTTTNAAATGTATAACACTTGTAATTGGTTTGTCGAAACTGTGTTTAGATCTCAATGATACCTTTTAAAATGTCTTTTTCCAAAGAACAATTACAGAACAAGACTCAAAAATATCTAAAAAGGTTTAATTTATGATTTAGACCGATAAATTATTTTGCTCGAACGGATGATTACAGGTGGGAAAATTAAGAGAAATTGCAAATGATGTCTCTAGTCTGGATCTCAATCTGAAAAAGTGAAGAAAAAAAAATCACCGAATGCATTGCTCTATTGCAATATTTCTATTTTATATAAATAAATAAAAATGTTAGTAGTGAATTTAAAAATTTCCATATTTTATTTGGAGTTTAATTTTTGGTTCTTGATAGAATTTCTTGCATAGCCATTTTAATTCACCGTTTCTGGAAAATAAATATATTCTTTTTCGTAAGATAATTTAAAATACTTTTCAATAATGCAATTAATAAGAGTTTATAATCTAAAATTAAACATTAATTTTTAGGAAGGTGAGTGCCGATTCAAAAGAAATAATATTGGAGCTAAGCTTAAAGGCTGGGTGGATGTTAAGCAATTTAATGAAAAAGCACTTATGAAAGCTGTAGCCACTGTCGGTCCAGTTTCCGTTGGAATAAATTCTGAAGGTTATGGATTTAAACATTACAGGTAAGCACTTTTTTTTAGTAACAATTATCAAAGAACCAATTAACACTGCAACAATAATGTTGATTTTGTTATGCTATGAAATCTAATTTTAAAACTATCTATTCTTATTTAGAGCTTTTTTCGAGTTGAAGTTGCAATGAATAAAATTCAGATAGCATTTAGTTAAATATCTCTTGAATAAAAAGCAATATACATTATTTAAAAGCTGTTTATGCAAATATGCTGATAATATATTAATTTTCGTAAAGTATTAATCATAACTAATCATATTTAAACGAAAGAAAAATGAATTTAGTCTCAATAGATTTTAAAAATTGAATTTAATTCAAACATGTCAAAATAAATCTTTTTTATCTTTTTTTCCCCAGCTGCTCTTTATTTATAAGAAAAGAAAAGGAAAAAAAAATACATCAACAATCCTTAACAATTTATTTCCTCTGAAAACACTTATTATTTCTAATTCTCATTCAAACTGATGTTAGGCTTACATGCAGAGTGTTCAGTTAAGAGCGACTTTAATATGTAGTTCTAGAATCCTTATCAAAAATATAGATAAACAAGCAAAAAAGTATAAGCATTGGAAGTAGCAAATAAATATTTAAACGAGGAAATAACAAGAATGTTATCGAAATCTGACAAATTTCGCTGCAGGAATGCATGTGTAACAAAACAAGACAGGTTTGACAGCGAGTGGTGACATAGAGGAATTTAATGATGTTTATTAAAAATACCTTCAGGTTATAATCTCCAATGAAACCCGTTTTGAGGTTTACTACATTCGCTTTCCAGTACTGTGATTTGTTAGATTTCAATAGCGTATTTGTCATTTCCTTGCTTAAATCTCAATTTGTATGATTTTGCGTATGCTCCAATGCGAATGCTTTTACTTCATTTTTATAAGGATTCTAAAAATATTTATAAGGGGTGGTCTTTACCAAACACCCTATATATTTTCAATTTATGCTAAACGTTATCATGAGCTTCAGATTAATTTTACATCTGAAAAAGTCTTTTAATTTTACGTCGTTTAATTCAATATTTTTTCTTCACATTTATGCTAAAGGAAAGATTTATACTAAAGAAATATAACGGAAATATTTTCTTTTAATATAGAAGTGGAGTATATGATGTTCCCAGTTGCAATTCTTATATGATAAATCATGGTGTCTTAGTCGTTGGTTATGGAACAACTGAAAGTGGAACAGATTATTGGATTGTAAAAAATAGGTAACTGTTTTTAGATAAACAACGAAATAGTATGATTGATTACACAGGCGAACAATTTTTTTTGTTGCGTTTATGTAAATACTTGATCTTGCTTAGAACTTGGGGATTTATTTGAAATTAGTTTTTCTATTAAAGCTAAAGATTTTTTTATGTAACATTTTTAGTCTATTTTTTTCGAAATGCACAAGTATATAAAATGTTATATATTACAGGGGGTAGCGTAAATATTGAAGCACACTTCTCGGAGAGTTAGGGTACATCATCAAGATTAAAACTGCATAGGAATCCATTCTTACAAAAGTTGTCGTACGACGCTAGGGGCACTTCCCTATTATGACTTCTTCAGAAGCACACGAAGAAGCAGTCAAAAGGAGGTATATGACGACATTTCCGAGCAAATTTCTATGCAATTTTAATCCAGATGAAGTGCTCTTACTCCTCTAGAAATGTGTCGCAACATTTATCGGTTCCCTGTTACATATTACTTTTTTAAACGTAAACATTTCGACGAAAAATGTCACTTAAAAAGGACTTGTAACTTGGAGAGAGAAACCAATTGCAGATTTGTAATCAGCAATACGAAAGTATCCAAGATCTGTTAAAAAATCTCATGCAGCAGAGAGAAAATTGTTCACCAGTGATGAATAGAAAAGAGGAGGAAAAACCATTTCCCAACTTTAAGTTGAAAAATTGCTACTCATTGTTTCGTGTCTCTTCTTATTGGTGTAAAGTTGAAAGGGTTTTGTTTTAAATATATCTATAAATGATTTTATTTCTTGATTTGTTATATTATACGAAGAAAAAATCAGTCACAATATCCAATTATTAAACACCGAAATGTACAGTGCTCAAAATAAAAAATGGTCCATCCTGAATAACTTTTGATTTAATGATCGGGTCTTCATGTTTTGAGGCTCAACCTTAAAGGCTTCAGAGGATGACCTCAAATAAGCTAATAATTGCTGCAGACTATAGTTCAAGCAACGGAATCAGACGCAAAACGTACTTTATCTAAATATACATACCATTTTCTCAATGGTTTCGAATTTCTGACCCACAAAATATAGGGGGTAGCCGCAATCTGGAAAATATTTTTCCAATAGTTTGATCAGGAAAGCAGTTCAAAGCTTGGATTCCTGAAGGTTAATTTTACATTTTCCGTATTATACTCTATTTTGCAAACTCTTTAAGTGAATTAAAAACTTTTACATACAATTATGAATTTCGTTTATCTAAAAATTATTCCGTGCGAAATCTAACTTTTAGTAAACATTAGAGGCCCCAAACTTTGGACCGCTCTCTTAACTATCAGAAAAAGTAAAAAAAAATGTTTATTCAAAGGAAATACGTTTTTGTGTCTGATTTCGTAACTTAAAATATCATCTGCACTAATTAATTAGCATAGTTGAAGTCATCCCCTTGAACCATTAAGATTGAGTCCTAGAAGTCCTAGAACGTCATTAGATCAAAGGTTATTTTGGGTTGTCCGTTTATTTTCTTGCGCACTGAACACTCTCACAGAAATATCGGTTCCACTTGAATCGTAAATTTGCGATATTGATTTAATTTTACTATTATTAAAAGTAAACTATTTTTCTGTTTAAGTGAATTTTTTTCTTTTCAACTTGACTGATCTAGTTGAACAGAACATGCATAAGAAACATGGTCGCCAAGGAAATTAATTTTCATTATCATATGGTCTACTTGGCACTACAGCAAGCTTATAGCAAATTTTGATGGTATTATGGTTCAACATGTAACAAATTTTTTAACAGTGTAGTTTCATTGAACACGTTTTATACAATTGTTAAAGCAATCAAAATTTCTAGCTCGATAGGGAGCGTCAAACGAAACTGACGGTAGTAATGCAGTACAGCAATAATCAAAGATTTGCTCTCCATCAATGGAAACGATTGAGTCCTGGTTGCTCGGGTGATAAAGCATTCGCCTCCTAATGAGGTGTCCTAGGTTTGAATAACAGCTGTGGCTAATTGATACGAGTTCTGCTCCTGAGTCGCCCTGACCACAGTGCTCACATAAAATATCTCAGAGGTAAATGCATCATGGGCTAGAATTCCCTTGTCATTGGGCTAGCCATCGGAGGCTTTCGTGGTTTTCCTCTCCATGTAACGCAAATGCGAGTTACTTCCACCAAAAGTCCTCCCAGAAGGCTAATTTGTCCCACTGTTTGATCTAAGGGTTCCCTTGTCTTCTAGATTGGGTTCAAATTTAGAAGACTACGGAATTGAACACAGATAGTCGTGAACACAAAATTGGATCGACTGTTTAACTCCGGTTATCAAATAAACTGAAAACAAGTTTGTAAAAATGGATAAAAGTTATTAAAAAAGACATATATTAGATAAATATTTTAAAAAGTTTCCTTTTTCAGTTCGTTTTTTTAAGTTAACTAATGAATGCTTACAAAAGACGATAAAGAACTACGAATAACAAGGCAATCATTGAGTAAAAAATTGCTGATTTAAATTATTATCATTATACATTCGTAATCGCTTAGTCATTTGATATCGATTAGGGGACTGGAGTTTCAACATTTGAAATCATTCTTTAGTTAACAAATTTGCTAATTTTATATAAAAAAAAAATACTGTGAATATTATTCTTTAATGACTTTTTCTAACGAAACCTCCAGTGGAGGTTTCTGGCGAAACCTCCACTGTCACTTTTTTTTCCACATATAGAATTTTTGAGCTTGCCTACTTTGAGCATTGCTGCTGTGAAATAACTTTTTGCTCAAACTCGTAAATAACTTATCAAATAAAAAGCAATAATTTACAGTGAGGAATTGAATATTTTTTTCAGAACAAATCTTTTTATTGACTTTGCAATTTCATGTATCTTTTCTAACTATCAATTAAAGATCTTTATTCTTTTTACATTTTTTTATACATTTAATTGCACTAAAATAAATTCATCAGGACATTTAAATTCAGAGTTATGCATAACTTATATCTTAAAATTTGAGGAGAAATTTCGTGATAATTCTGTATCTTGGCTATTGATTAGTCTAGAAACAATAATGAAATAAATAAAATTGCTCAAAATTGCTTTGACTAATAATGCGGTTTTTTAATTTCAGTTGGGGTCCTACATGGGGAGAAGGAGGCTATGTAAGAATGAGGAGAAATAAAAACAATCAATGTGGAATTGCATCTTTAGCAAGCTATCCTGTTGTTTGAAGTCAAATCTAAATTTAATCCTGTTATGAGCTTATGAATTCTTTATTACATCATTTCAGATTTAATAAGCGTTCGCAATTTTCGTACAATTTTTGTATACATTTATTACACTTCTCAGAGACTTTTGTTTTTAATGCAAGAATTTCATTTTTATATTATTATTTTAATTTATTTCATTACATTGTGATTGTTTAATAATCATCGAATATTTGTCTAGATGTTTTTGTAAATACCATATGCAATAAAAAGTATTTCGTTTTTTTTATTTAAAGAGTGTCATTTATACTGATTCTATTTTTCATTCTTAGTCGTGAAACTCAGTTATTTTCAAATTCCATTTCATTGACTTTTCTCTCTGTTACTAGATCTATATTTCCTCATTTTCTCTTGATATATATTAGTTTTTCCATTTGATTTTTAATAACTGAACGTTATTCATATTTTGCTTGAACTATTTTTTCATGGAAAAAACTTAAATTTTAAAATGAGAAAGGAGGAAAAATTCTTCTTCCTATCAGATTAAGAAAGCATATTAAGAAGGTAATTAAGAGAAAATTCATCAAAGCTTCGTAACACAAAGTTTTAAAATCTTCTAAAGGTTAAAAATAATCGTTTTCTTTTCTTGATGCCTAAAAAGTATCCGAATTCTTTAAATGATTTACCCAAAAATTATACATTGAAAAAAGAAGGTTGGTGCTAGAAGATGATTTTCGTGACTTTGACCAGAAAACAAAATGAATGGAAAATGATACTTTGCAGTTGAGGATGTATAATGTGGATTGTATGCTTCGCATGGCAATTGTAGACAAAATATTTTAAAAATGTAATAAATAAGATGAAAACATGGTATAAATCAGAAAAAAACTTTTATTTAAAAAAAATAATAATGCAGAGTTCGAGTTGTCAAATAAAAGTTCTAGAAGGGGAGAATTTAGAATTTTAAGTTCATCTTATTTATCTAACTATTTTGCACTTTTGAGCACACTGCGTAAATTGAGTTATACAACAAGTTTTATCTGTTTTTAAAGCTGTATTTTTGTTTTCAAACAATTCCTTTATCGGTTAATTTTATGTACAAATATAGGAAACGCGAGAAAATGCGAGTCATAGTTATCAGTCTTAATTTTATCTTGGTCAAGCGAATATTCGCTGTTTTCCCACGTGCTTTTGTTTGACCCCTATATATCTATTGTATTACTCAGTCTATTGATAAACAACTAGTACTAGAAATAGGTAGATTCTTCATACTCACATGATTTTGGCAGAGACAGTTTGCTAATACTTCTGAAAAGATATATAAGGAAAGTGGTGCTCATTCAAATCTTTTTTCAGTTCGATATTTTATTACATTCGGCAATAAAGCAGGATTCACATTTAAAAAGTATGTAATTTATTTTATTTGTTTTTCTAAAAGCATTATATGGATATAAGTGATGAGTAAATTAAACAATTTCAACATAAAATAGAATAGTATTATATTAAATTTAAGCAATCAATGATTAGTAGATTAGAGATAATTGAGAATGATTGGCCGATCTAATATTAATGTAATATTAATATTGACACGTTTTACATTTAGATATTTTTGTAGAAATGTGCTGAAAATATTATTTTTGCATTTCAAGTAGCTTAATTTGAAAGCTAATTACTGTAAAAACTAGTTAGTATGTAAAACTAAGAAAAAAATATTTTGTTTCTAAAACATAGAGAAGCAACGGAACCTAGCAATTTCATTTTCATTCATTGTGCTTTTTTTATTTAAAATTTTATATTAGGCTCTAAGAGCTCGAATTCAACACTTTTTGAAATTAATTTAGCCTCTAAAAATGTTATTAACCAGGATAAGACACTGCAACAATTTAATATTATATTTTACTTTAAGTAGGCATAACTGGTACTAAAAGTTTTAGCTAGAATTAGGCATATTAACCATAAGGGAATTTTTATGGTGAAAATTCTTATATTTTGTTATGTTTATTAATTCATCAGGATGACAATAGCCCTGAAAAGTTTAAAATTTCAATAAATTTTATTTTTTCATGGTTTCTGATCGGAGTTTTCAAATTAGTTATGAGTGCGTCAAAATTGGGTAAAATGTACTGCGATTACGATTAATTATGATTGCATGATTGCATGCATTTAAAATTTCATGTAATTATAAATACATGTTATAGTAAGTCATAGTCATTTCTACGCGTAACCTTAGTTAAACGATTTTTATAATTAGGATTACAAAATTATTCGAAATACTAATTAATTATGATCATGATTAAAATTGTAACTAAATTTTGTAATCATGATTAGAAATAATTGATTATTTGTAATTAATTACATTTGGCCTAACTCTGGTATGAGCATTATTGGTAATATACATTTCATAGAATAATCTCAACAACATCCGATTTCAAAGCATATTCAAGAAAAATTTTGCATTAATTGTAACACTTTATAATCTATAATAAAAAAAATATGATGAAAAAACCATAATAAAAATAATATTTTTGAAGACTATTTCTAGTCATAAAAATCATAATAAAGTAAGATTCTTTCCGACTTAAGCAGTTGTCGGATTTAAGCCATACTGGGTATCAAATTTAAGTTAGTTTAGTTTTATTTAGGAAAATTATAAACCAATTGATACGTTTTTTGAATAATTTTAAGGAATTAACTAAAAGAGTTGTAGATATTACAAAATCTAAAATTCTACAGTTCATATTTGTCTTCAAAAGGCCTTAGAAATCAAAAGAAAAAACAGTAAAAGCACTCATTTTGCTGTCATGTAAAATGCATGATTTTTATTGTTTTGTAGACTTAGTTTGTCTTTTAGGTATTATAACTGTCAAAAATTTAGTTTATTGGAACTGTTAAAGTACAGCAAAACAGAATCAAAGCTATCACTCTTTTGTAAATATTTATAAATTCATTTGTCAAAAGACGGAAAATTAATGTTTTCCTTTCTTAGCATATTAAATAAAAGAATCAAAAATAAAAATGAAAAAACAAACTCGAAAAATTGGAGTTTGGAAATGACTTCCTGCAACCAAAAATGATTAAAATTAAAACTGATTGGTTTAAAGAAAAATATACGCAACTCTAACAAACAAGCTAGAGTTTTTATAACAAGTTTTTGTATAAATCCAATTTCTTTACCATAAATATTTAATTTTAACACAAAAACTTATCTTTCAATTATCTACTCTAAATTTAATTTCAAAACTTTTATCTATTACACTTTAAATTGACAGGGTCATGTATTTTGAACACAACCCTTAACTTACTCATAAATATGAAAAAAAGAAAGGAAAAACCATCTAGAAAATCTTTATCCTTTGAAAAATAAGCCAGAAAGGTTTAATTTTGATATGAGTTAAACTAGTTTATATTGCATCAAACTAAATGGTACTACGTACACAAAGTAACAAATCACATAGTGTTATAAACTAAGCCTGATGAAAAAGAACAGAAGAAATATGAGGACTGGGATCACTCGCTCTTAATATCCATGTTTAACAAAAAAAAAATCAATTCCCCTGTTTACATTAACGTTTTACATTTTATTACATACAAAGAATATATACCGAATATATTTCTTACAAATAATCTCTTACCTCCCCCCCCCAAAAAAAAAGAAGAAGAAAAAACAGCTTTTTCAGTCTCTACACTAGGAAAACTCCTGAAGTTGTTTAAATTATGAAAGTCTTATGAAAAATACAGTTGCAGTTTTATAGGAAAAAAAAGTTTTCCCTCATTTTATAATTTAAACTACTAGGAGACAAAAGCATTGAATCTATAAAATTATAAATAAATACTACGACATGTCAAAAAAGAATTGCAACCTCGCAACTACTTATATTGAAACTTTTTGATTATGTATTTCGACTTAAAAATTATGGACATAAAAAAAATTATTAAAAGTACTTCCTAGCATATTAAAAGCATATTAAAAGTACGACGCATATTAAAAGTACTTCCATTAATCATTATACTATAAATATTATTTTTTACTTTATTACATAATTTTTTTTCAATATTTTTTTCTATATTCTTGATTAGTATAGAATAATTTCTTAAAATGCAATTTTTATTTTAGATGATTCGCTCTATTCTTCTGCTGATATTATTTACTTGTGTAATTGCCGCTCCATTTCAACAAGACTTTGATCATCTATGGAATGCTTACAAGGTACAAATGCATTATTTTTTAGTATGCAGTATGTATGTTAATAATCAACTTCGATAATTATATTTAAAATTCCTATTAAAAATTATAAAAAATTACTTGCACCTGTTAAATGTTACAAAAAACTTGCTTGTACCGCAAATGTTACTAAAATCTGATTAATTATTTTTCTGCGGTGCAAAAGAAAAGTCAACATAAGCGACAAAACTTAACTTTCAATTCTTTATTATACAGAAAGAATTATATCATTATACATAGGAGAAATATATGTATATATATATATATATATATATATATATATATATAT